TTTTACTGTATCATATGTTATTTTTTTTAATTAAATTAGGGGCATGAGGAGTTAGATGTTGCCAGTTTTGCGTGAACATGAAGAGTTCACAAAAGTGAAAAATATAGCAACGATAGAGCTGGGAAGATATGAAATTGAGACATGGTACTTCTCACCCTTTCCACCAGAATATAATGATTGTGTGAAGCTGTACTTTTGTGAATTCTGCCTAAATTTCATGAAACGGAAAGAGCAGCTTCAGAGGCATATGGTGAGCAGTTTCTCTAATTCTATTACACTTGCCAGCTTTTTTATTTCAAATGTGGAAAGTACCATGGTATCGATGTGCCCGATCTAGTCTATCATTTAGGATAGGCAATTGTTAAATCTCTTTTGGTGGTTGACTTCCAACATAGTTCTATGGGGTATTGAGGGCCTGTGAGATTGTTATTTGAAAAATAAGCAAAAGGAGAAATTAAATTGATTATATTAAAAAAAATAACCAAATTGCATAGGGTGTTATTTTTCATTGCTTGAAAATTACATTTTTCCCCTTTTTGAGGAGAGTGTGAAAGTTACTTTCAAGCACCTAATAAGTATCCTGCTTATATGTTACCATAGTAAATTTAAGCAAAACGCTAAATGTTATTTATAAACACCAAAAAAAATGTCATCTCTTTTTTTTTAAAAAAAAATACTTCAAATAGTCATATTTAAAGCTAATTACATTATTTGAGACCAATCCGTTTTTTGCAGTATTTATCCAGCTTAATCAAGATGTTGATGTCCCTTGATTTATGCAATTTTGAATTCTTTGTTATTATTATTTTTTGCATTTGTCTTATAAATATGGCATTTAATCTCTCTCTTCTAACAATAGAGATTATTGACGTAGTAGCTTTACTATTATTGCCAGGATAGTTATCTGGTAGGAGTTGCTGTTTATTGTTTGATTTCAGTCATTGACAGGTTTCTATTTATCTACTTGTTGTTTTATATTTTGGTCTTGGTGGTTCCCCCTCTTTTTTATTCCCAAACTTCTGTCACCTTACAAGGCTTTAATATTTACCCATTGTTTTGCTTTCTACTCTAGCGAAAATGCGATCTCAAGCATCCTCCCGGTGATGAGATCTACCGCAGTGGTACTTTGTCAATGTTTGAGGTATGATTTTGAGTGCTTATTTTTGCTAATATCTATCTAATCTCTGCCGTTTAGAATTCATTCTGTCTGCCCTTATGCTGCCCCCTTTCTCCCATTTATAACCCCATTCATTATATATTATCTTGTCTCAACTGATTCTTTGTGGACATTTGTATAATTTGGTATCCTTTCAGCTGATGTTGTGGAACAAATCTGTGTTCTCTAGCTTTCTTTCTTTATTTGCTTTGCTTGCTCAACCTTTTCTTGGTTCATGATCCTGTTCATTGTGTTTTCTCTATATAGTAACAGAAGGGAAATATTTTTCACTACATAATATAGTCATAATTCGAATTTGCAAAACCTTAGTGATTGCATTAGAAAAAATATTTTGTTCTAACTAGTCTGAAGCTGATTTCTTCATCCTCATCCTAATTGTTTCTTTGCACATTTGTAAAGGTTTCTGTTGATATGAGTTTTTTCTTTGACCAATTGTCTTGAAACAGGTGGATGGCAAAAAGAACAAGGTTTATGGGCAGAATCTCTGTTATCTGGCAAAGTTGTTTCTTGACCATAAGACCCTTTACTATGATGTTGACTTGTTTCTATTCTATGTTTTGTGTGAATGTGATGATCGAGGATGCCACATGGTTGGATATTTTTCCAAGGTAAGTCGTTATTGCATTTCTATTGGTTATTTAATTAGGTCAGGTTATGTCATTCACTCAGATAATATTCTAACGAGTGTAGTGCTTCTGGACTTCCTTCACATGATGGAGTTGTTTGTAATGGATTGTCTAAGACTGCTTTTGTTAGGACCTGGAAGCCAAAACTGAAAATTTCAATTGAATTTTTCCTTGTTTTGTTTCTGAAAAGAGAAGTGGAAGATAAATTGATTAATTCTTGTTAAAAAAATGCAATTCTCATGATTGAGGAGACATACTCTGCAGCATATCTGGAGGAAAAATCTTCTTTAAAAAAAATCTGGAGACAAAATCGATAATTTGCTAGTCTCGTTAAAACAACTCTCTATCATTTCCTTGGCTAGCTATAACCAATAGGTCAAAAGGCATTGGTCTATGGCTTGGTAATTTTTTTATATACAAAAAGTAAGACTGCATTTGAGCTGATTAAGGTGCTGTGATAGAAAATCTTTATAAAAAGGTACTCTTAGCAATTAAAAATTAATCTATTTTTAAGTAAAGAAACGTGTTCTTGGGGCAAAATATTATTTTACTCCAGTATTGAAAAACAAATTCAGATTTTCGGACTAAATCAGACAGAATGACCTAACATATCACATTAATATAGTTAATAGCAAGCTTGTTATTTCAAATAAAGTTAATAACAAGCTTGTAAGCAGCAGGACTTAGGGTTGTTTTTGATCTCTTGCATGGGAAACTCTCTTCTCATGACTTATATACTCAAAGAAGATAAGCTGACCTTTCCAAGTAGTTTGAGAGTATTTCCAATCTCCATATTTTGGCTGTAACATGGTTAGCCCTTGCCTTTACTTTCTTGTTTAAGCAAGCAAAAGCTGTATGTTTTCAGATATTTACAAAATTCTGATTGAAGTTCTCAGCTTCATGCTCAACTTATGGGATAACATATTTCCTGTGCTATTTTTTCTCGACTGAGAGTTTGAATGTGGCTAAAATTTTTTCGTGTCTGATAATGCAGGAAAAGCATTCAGAGGAATCCTACAATTTGGCATGCATCCTTACGCTTCCTCCTTATCAAAGGAAAGGCTATGGGAAATTTTTAATTGCCTTCTGTAAGTTGTCTGGCATCTGACTTTTAGGGAATGGTTCATATTACAATGGACATGGGACATAGTTCTCTCTCTCTCTCTTTTTTGAGCAAGAGAGTAGACTGGTATTTATCCAGTTGCAGTAAGCCTGAAGTATCAAGCAGAAATTTGACTTCAAATTATCCAATGGACGGGACTTCTGGGGCAGGCACTTTCATCCTATTTGATGACTAAGCATGAACGTGATCTTATGATATTTTGATATCTCATTGTATTGATGACAAATTTAAATCTTCCAAGTCCTGCTAGCCATCTTCATTGTTAGAATCTTTTCAAGAAGTTTTTAAATAAAGTCCACCAAAAATGCTAGGATCTAGAATAAGATGATTGAGACCATTCAAGGACAGCTAACATGCAGTAGCTATTTTGATTCAGATGGAGCATACATGGCTTGACTTGAAACTTACATATGATAAAACAGTCCTAGCAGGATCCTCTATTTTGTATCTGAGCTTAGCTGAGAGCTGTCCTGTAGTATTTTTTCTCTTCTCATTTACTAAAAGTAAATATTACAATTTTTTGACTTTTATATTCGAAATATGTATTTTGCAATTGGTATAGATGATTCTAATTTTTACCTTAACATGCCGGCAGCTTATGAACTCTCAAAGAAAGAAGGTAAAGTTGGAACACCTGAAAGGCCCCTATCTGATCTAGGACTATTGAGCTATAGAGGATACTGGACCAGGGTTCTTTTGGACATCTTGAAAAAGCATAAGGGCAACATTTCTATTAAGGTACTCCTATTTTCTATTGAGGAGTCATTTTTTATTAATCGCCGTTATATCTACATCTCTCTCAGCACATTCTGGCATGCGTTGTATGTGTGCATGTTCATTTGCTACAAACAGGAAGGGGAAATGTGTGAACTGCTTTTATCAATAGTTAACTTCATGATTGGAAATATTTAGCAAGAACAATTTGTGTGTATCCTTGGTGTTTGGTCCTTAATCACTTTGGTGTCATTTTTTTTAAATGCTTGAGCTTTCTATGCATTCCTTTGGTTTAGTTTGTCTTTACTTTCTCGTTCCTCGTTTGATTCTTTTGTTTTTGTAAATGTAATCTTCAAATCTACTGTAGGAGCTTAGTGACATGACAGCCATCAAAGCAGAGGATATCTTAAACACCCTTCAGAGCCTAGAATTGATCCAGTACAGGAAAGGTCAACATGTGATATGTGCAGATCCCAAGGTGTTGGATCGTCATCTAAAAGCTGCTGGGCGTGGTGGTCTGGAGGTTGATGTTAGCAAATTGATCTGGACTCCTTACAAAGAACAGAGTTGATGGTAGCAGAGTCATCAGATTCTTGTTGTCCGAAGTAGTAGGCTTAAGAGTTTAAATTGCCTCTTCCCTTTCACAAAACTGAGTCTAATGGTATCAACTTCGTCTGTACTTGCTAGTGTAGGAAATGTAAATGACCTGCCTGTATAAATAGGTTTAAGAAATTAGAAAATATTAGATTGGGAAGGCCTTGGGCCTTCAAGTACCATGTATTTGAATAGCTTATACTGTCATCTGCTACATGTATAATTAATTGTTATGAAGAGAGATGTAGTCCACCAATATAATGATCTCTTCTACACAAGCGTTTTTGTTTATGATGTTTCCTCTATTGCAAGCATTGTGTATTAAACATATTTTATTTAAATTCAGTTCATAAATATTAATATTTTTTATTGGTTCCTTTATGACAAAGAGTGAACATTTTTGGATGTACAATTTATTTAAAATTTTATGTTATATATTTAATTTCAATAATAAATTTATGTTTTGATATATTAAGAAAGAATTATAAAAACTAATTTAAATTGGATATAAAAATTCATTTAAAATTAAGATATTATTTCTATTTAACTACTTGTAATGAAATTTTATTTATATTTTATAAAATTAAAATTTAAACAAAAACTAACGTTGATTTTATTAATCTCAAAAATATAACAGAAGAATGGAGTGCCGAAGTAAAACATTATTAATATAATGGAATTTGATTTACTTGCAAACCCATTTGTATCCCCCACGAATCAAAAGTCTCTCAAGTATCTCGCCCTCTGTGTAAACCCATTTGATTCCCAGCCGATTTACCAAGAATCAGGGTGGTAAACCCGGTTCAATCCAAATAACAAATCTATCTATCTTCATCCTTGATGACGCGTGCTGGAACTATATTTATTACCCAGTGTCAAATAGCTTTTCCTAACCCACTGAAATAACCATGTTCATCCAGTTTAGACGCCCTTTTTTCTTTTTATGTTTTTAAAACAAGCAAACCCCGAACACAGAACCACAGCAATGGTGGGCAGAGAGTTAGATACCGCGTTCATGAAGGCTCCACCCTTATTTTCATCCAACTTTTTACTGTGGGTTCTTTCTTTATATTATCACATAATTCAGAGGAAAACATCATCAGCACACCAAATTTGTTTCCCAGTTGCTGGTCTCACGCTCTTTCTATTCTGACTATAAATGGGTCCAGATGACTTTTTGTATTGATTTCCAAAGCTCACAGAAATTTCAGAGATATATATATATATATATATATATATTAATATACATATAATTGACCAAGTAACCGTTCCTTTCCCTGTCAAAGTAATGTTCTGATCTTTCTAACATTTCTTCTTCCTTTTATTTTCTGGTGCATCACCAAAATTTCTATCATTCTTGTTTATCTATGTATCATCTTCGTCTACATATTATATAAGATGGAACTAGAGCAGCCCAGGTTGACGGAAGATCCCAGCGTGCAAGATATCATGAATCCAAAAAGTAGTGCTACTCACAAGACCGCAACTTCTTCTGTGATCAGAAAGAGTAATGAGTCATTTAATGATCTTTGCGGGCAATCAGAATCCTTTAGGACACTAGAAATGGATGTGCCGAAATGCCTGTCAGCAGAAGAAAAACTCGCTTGGCTGCGCTCTCAAATCATTGGTGGTGATATCGAGTTTGATTTTCCTTTTGGAAGACGAAAACTCAGTTATGCAGATCATACTGCCTATGGCCGTTGCTTTCATTATGTTGAGGATTTTGTCATTAACAACATTTTTCCCTTCTATGGTAATTATACAATCTTAATGTGTTTTATTAATTAAATAGATGATAAGAATCTCGTCGCAAAAACAATAGTAAATGCATGCGTTTCTTGAAAGGTTTTTGCAACGGTGAAACCTCCCGTTGCAGAGTGTTGTTTCAAAAT